ACTGATGCACAAAAAATTGCGGAAGTTTTTAATAACCACTTTATAGGTAATATTACAAAACGCGACAAAAATCATAATCTTCTTAAACAGATTGTAACGAATGACAAAACAATTTTTCTATATCCTACGGATTGTTATGAGGTTCGTAAAATAATAATGAATCTTAATAATAGTAAATCTGTCGGATACGACGAAATTTTAACAAAAATATTAAAAGCGTGTGCAAATAGCATATCTGAAATTTTAAGCTTTTTGATAAATTTATCGTTTTGTAAAAGGCATCTTTCCATCGAAGTTAAAACAAGTAATTGTAAAACCACTTTTTAAGAAAGGTGACAAGGCAACAGTAAATAATTATAGACCAGTTACTCTCGTGCCGGTGTTATCGAAAATATTTGAAAAAGCTATGTGTAAGAGATTAAACTTATTCTTTACAAAGCATAATATATTAAATCGGCAGCAGTTTGGATTTGTAAAGAAAAGTTCAACTACACTTGCATGCTTTCATCTTATTAAATTTGTCACCGAAAGCATATCTCAAGGGATACCTGTAGTAGCAGTACTATTAGACATGACTCAGGCCTTTGATCACATAGAACATGACATTTTGCTTCAAAAATTAGAAAAATATGGTATTCGTGGTGAAGCAAATAATTGGATAGCTAGTTATTTGAAAGACAGAAGGCAATGTACTGAAATCTGTAAGATGGTGCCTAAAAACAAACAAATACAAAAATCATCATATAGATCAGATTATAAAATTATTAAATATGGTGTTCCACAAGGTAGTATTTTGGGCCCGCTTTTATTTTTAATTTATATCAATGACCTACCTCAAGCTACGAAAGAAAAATGCATTCTTTTTCGCCGATGATACAACCCTAATAATAAAGGCTAATGACATAAATAATTTTAATAATCAAATCAATAACTCTATTCGTGACGTAGTTAAATGGCTTGAATTAAATAACCTTAATATTAATTTTGACAAAACAAAAATAATACAATTTACGACACACAAATCAAAAAAAAAATAGACATTAACATTAAATTTCATAATAAATCGATAGAAAAGGTACAATCTGCAGTATTTTTGGGTATCACACTTGATGAACAATACAATTGGAAGGAGCACATTTTTAAAATTTGTAAAAAAATTAGACCGATTTGTTTATGCTCTAAGACGATTACGGAGAACAGTGTCGCGAGAGGCAGCTCTATGTGCATATCATGGTTATGTTTCCTCAGTTCTAAGCTACGGGTTATTGTTATGGGGTAACTCTACCGATAGCCAGAAAGCATTTGTAGTACAAAAAAAATGTATTCGCGCTGTATGCAATTTGGGGTACTGTGAGAGTTGTAGACCCCATTTTAAGAAATTAAACATTCTTCCCTTACCATGTATGTATGTGAGGGATATCTGTTTGTTTGTAAGACAAAATTTAAATTTATTTTTAAAACAGTCTGATGTAACACAGAGGCATACTAGGAACAAAAATAAATTATTCTTGCCTAAATCAGGCACCTCATTCTTTAACAGGAATGCTTCCTACATGGCAATCCGTGTATACAATCACCTGCCAGACACAATAAAGAATGAAACAAGTCAAACGTTTAAACGAAAGTTGATAGAATGGCTTCTCAGCAAGTGTTTTTATAGTCTTTCTGAATATTTCAACAACTAATTTTGTTTTTAAAATTATTATTTAATTAATATAATTATAATAGTAAATATAGGTGACATATATAGCAATTTGACGATGACATGTATTATTATTGATTTTCACTTTGACATATTTATGACAATTTGTGTAACATTTATCCGTAATTAATTATTTATAGTTTTGTATTAAAATTTTATGTCGAAATTAAATTAAGACGATTTAATATTTGTACGCCTATAAAAGAGGCAGAATAAGTGAACTTCTGTATTAGATTTAAGACCATTATGTATTACCTTATTCTGACAAATAAATAAATAAATAATAAAAAAGGAATGTCTTTATTGCTTCATAATAAGAATAATAATAATCAACAGCTAACCGCAAATCCGCTGCCAAACTTAAGCCTCCCGCAAGGAACCCCACAACCACTATGTGGCCCTAGGCAACCTGAATCCATACTTCCTGCATCTCTTACCAGGTCGTTACTCCATCTATTGAGAAGCTGATGAAGAGACACTCGAGAACTTTCCTCCCCGTCAGTTGCCGGTTCTTCTATCTATATGGCCCACAATTAACATTTTTTATGAAAATAGTAATATCATTCTTAGTAATAACCTAACCATCTTAAACAGAACCGTCATCCCGTGAATGTCGGAAGTGGTGACAGAGGAAAATAAATCAAATGGGCAGCAGCGTAAACTAAAATAAAAACTGCGGTTGCCAACCCGCTTGCCAAGCGTGGCAACTATGGCAAATATCCCCCCTATGAGGTAATTTATGGGGGAGGCCTGTGTTCTGCAGTGGACTTAATAGGCTGTAACGATAACGATAACGGTATAGCGACGGTGTAAGTTAATATCTCACCACTCCATATCATCCTGTGGGTGTCGTAAGAGGGAAACAGAGGGAATCGGCGGCTCCGTGGCGCAGTGGCTTAGCAATGAGTTACAGCGCTAAGGGCCGCGGGTTCGAATCCCGCACGGATCAAGTATTTGTATAGTCTACAATTTATTGTGACGGGTCTGGATGTTTGTCCTTGTGAAATTTATGTTTGTAAACTGCCGAAACAGTAGAAAATCATAGTGTAGATGTAACGTAAAAAAAATTAAAACATGGCATGGGCAGCAGCACATTCCTGATAGTGCTCAAGGGTAGTGGTGGTGAACCTGCCATCCAAGCGTAGTTACTATGGAAATATATGGCAACTATGGCAATGTTCAGCATTGAACATTTATAGGCTGACAAAGATGAACGTAAAATTTAGTTTGGTTTAGAATTACGTATTTTTGCATATAATACGTACGACGAACTATGCACTTAGAAAAGGAAAATTCAACAAAAGCAGATTTATTCCGAGGAAAAGGTGTTTAAAGTAATATCTAATATCTCAAAACAACTATGTCCCTTATTGCCTTAAAGATAGCGTCGAGAATAGTAAAAAATTGAGGCAATGTCAACAGCTGTTTTGATATATTACATGTTTGAAAGTGTGTTATACAAGCTTAGGTGCGTTACACACGGGTGCAGAACACAAGAGCGTTCATAGAGACTCGTGCTCGAGAGCACGTTCTTTAAAGTCTTCCTAAAACAAATAACAAATCCATTAACAATAAAGCTGTTGGAAGTTAAGCGTTGATTATACCTAATATTTATTACGACAGATTGTTCGAGTTTCATTTTTAGTTCTTAGTGAATCTTAATCTATTTTTAAAAGACAAATCTTGCTACACATAACTGTTCTAACCGATTTTGTTTGAAATAAATTAATAAAATTTTTGTAGGTTATACATGTAGCAGCAAACTAGCTCAGTTAACAGCCTAGCCTTTTTGCTAGCGGCCTGAATGATATTCAGCCGATGCGTCTAATACAACATTTCATGCCCAATTATGATAATTAATCGAGGATAGATGTAGATGTCTATGGGGACAGCAAACACTTACCGTCAGGAGAGCTCGTTTGTCACTCTATCCTATATAAAAATGCAAATGCATTGTCACCCCTGAGGACTAAGATTGAATGCCTTGATGCCAGTAAAATGGAACTCCGGTTCTCTAAACTCACCATATGAAACACAGCAGCATTCGTCGAGCCGACCCATTCGTACTACAACTATACTACTAATATATCTGCAGTATGGCTCTACCGCGTATAAATTGATTTTGATTCTTAATTGAGGATAAATATGGATGTCTATGGGACACAGCATCCACTTACCATCAGGTGAACTGTGTGCTCGTTTGTCACCCAATGCTATAAAAAAGTGATCATAGACCATATGTTTTATCAATATTTCAAGTTTTGCGGATAAAATATGGTCTAAATCTCTCCTAGCATCGCTCTCTATCTGTTCGTAAAGTTTAACCACAAAATGGGTTTAGCCATTCCGAAGATGATCGCGGACAAACAGACAGACAGACCAATATTTTAAAATATTATACATGTCTAGAAAACTTGAAAGCATACAAATAACCCATGAGTTTAAAACAAAGCCCGTTATTTCAATATTAGAAACCCACTTCAGGTTTATTTATATGTATTGATGAATGTAAAATGGTATAAACAAATTAAAAGGAAAACGAAGACTTCTTACTTTAAAACCGAAAGTATTAAGTACGTTCATGCGAGCTTCAAATAAATCTAAACTGAATTAAACGTTTTTGAAATTTGAGACGAAATTAAGTAAAGCTGAAATTGGTAGGGGAACGTTGTGATCTTGGTTTACTTCTCATTCAAAAAACCGATTAAACTGTTCAAGTAAAGTAATTTAATATTAAATGAAAATGGAAAGTGATATTAAAAGTGAACTTTGATTAAATACTAGTTTCTGGGACAAAATTTTCTGTAATTTTATTGCAATAACTGCCTCAAAAACTTTATTGTCTACAGTAGTGGTGCTAAATAGTTTTTGTTTACTTTTATAAACTGTGCTTTGTAGAATTCCTTGAAGGAAACCTATGGTGAGCTATGGAATGTTCAACGACTGACCTAGTGATGAACAACACAATAAAGAGCATGATTTCCGTTTAAGTGTGCTAACAAAAAACATGACGCTCTAATTTTCTTCGTGGATATCAACGTTAAGTTTATTCAAAACGTTAATTTTGGATAAAATCCAATAAAGTTTCTTAAGTAAAATTTAAATTCTGAATTATTAAATAGTCAGACGATGGCTAACTAGCCTTATTTTTGAGTTTGCTATGTTTGTTTGGCGGCTGATACGTTTTATAAATATATGAAATATTTGAAAATATTTAACATGTGAAATATTACGTTATAGTTCATTTGGAATAAATTTATACCGAGACAATAATATTATAATTTACATGCATATGAACTCACCTATTCTCTCCTGGTCCCAATTTATTGTTTTCAATGACAGCTGTAGCTCTTATTCTGTGGTCAGGCTGTTCACCCAGTAGTTTCTCACATCTACCGTTGCTCAAATGCTCCCTCGCAACACTCAACGCGTCACTTTTGATAACATCTTTCGCACTAGCCACTTCACTTTCTATTTTCACTTCACACTCCACTTTAATCTTCAATTTTTCACTTGAATCCTTTTCGTGTTTCTCCGGCTCGTCATGCTCTTCCTTAACTTCTGCCTCTTTCTTGTTCTCTGCAACTCCGTTCGCTATAACGGGCGCGGGCTTTGCCTGTAGCGATTTTGGCTGTGATTTTGGTGAAGATATCGTAGGTTTGCTTTCTATAGCACCATTCTCGTTAATAGATGTAACATAGACTGCTGAGTTTGCAATGTAGCCGTTTAGCTCCTGTCGGTTCTCTGGTAGTGTCCGTTTCTTTCGGTTTAACTGTAAGTTAAATCAAAAATGTTGGTTAATTTAAGAGAATTCTTTTTTTTTAGTTGTCATGTGTTTGTTACCTATATCCTCTGAGTATAGTCCTGAACTGATTGTGAGTGTTATTTAATAAGTAAATCAGAAACATTTTGTTTAAGTGTCATTTGTAAAAATATTTTTATACCGTGTAGTTAAGTTTGAAGAAATTTGATATATATCTATATCTCCATAGCTATTGAAGTTATTACGCAGCGCTGGTGCAATATAAAACATTTTGCACAAATGTTGACTACGAAGCCTCCTCTGTCTACCTAAGTTGTCAACTCTCTATTCTTATGAATTAGATGAAGCTTGTGAAAAATAAGATAAAGAGCAATTAAATAAATCATATGCGCATTTTTATCGTTTTATATTGGAAGAATTGTATTTTTAATATATTTTTAATTATACTTATATTAACGAAAAAAGTGATTGACACTTCAAATTAAAATAATAAAGAAGTGTACATTTTGGCTGAGTCAGCTTTGCATTTCAAAGCAAAGCCAGGACAGTGCCACTGTAGAACTTTGATAGCGTTACGAGACGTGATGCCAAAAAACGCCAAGTGCTTACTTTAATTTTTGCTTAAATAGGAACATAAAATACTTCTTTTATCCGAATGTGTTGAATTTTTTCTAATATTTATCTCATGGTGTGGCGATTGGCGACTTTCATAAAATGCAAAAAAATTGAAATTATGATTAACATTTTCGTTCATTGCAGCTCCTCTAAGTTCTCTAATGTCTGAACATAACCAAAGGGAGATACTTGTCAGATCACACACTTAGCAGGCGGGCTGGCAAACGCAGCTTTTTATTTTCTAATCGCGCTTCCGCCCATATCTTGGTTTTATTCCCTTTATCCCGGCTTACGACATTCATGGGATGATTTGGCCACGGTCAAAAATTATGATATGATTGTAAATAAGCCCTTTTTTAGAAAATTATTTTTGAAAATAAAGCCTTTTAAAGAAGTGCGATTAGAACTCTAAACCCCCACTCGTTCGATGTGATAAATTTTGGATAGGTTAATATCTAGTATGTTTGTTTGCGGCACGGAGGAAAAATATTGTTAAGGATAACTAAGATACATATAATAATAATTAGTGCTTTGTCTCAATTATGAATATTTATGCAATAAATAATTATTATAATTTGCTAAGATAGCATTTATGAACGAATTGAAGAATCGTCGTTATGTATGTGTATACACTATATTACATTATTTACATATATGGCAATACTTAGTTTTAGGGCGAGAAAAGGTATCCTTTGAAAAAATACGTATTAGTCATCTAAAAATTAGACCTAAATTAAAATTAAATATTTTATATATAATATTAATACTTCTCGTACTGTGATTGTTAAGGGTAAATATAACCTCAAATGGCTTAGCAAGATCCTCCGTTATGCGGAAAATATTGCAGCATTAATTTTGAAATAAATATATGGTAAAGTTGAGGATTAATGTTAAGGATTATGTTAGACGAAAACACGATTCCGTAAAATTTTCTCGATAGAAAAAAAATCCAAAGTTACCTCCAAAATAAACAATAAACCGCTGTTATTCATAAAATACTTTAAATAATATCATGAAACTTTGCATAATAACTGAACTAACTATAAAGCAGTGCGTATTTTATTTACTTTTTTTAAAATACCATTATTTTCACTGTAAAAAGAAATTACCTAAACTATCGGCCTCTTGAAGCGTGATTCCTGCCGCACGGTTACTTCGCTTCGGCCTTTGAACGGGGAGGTTGTGTCGCTTACGATCAGAATATACATTACGCAACAGGACGACGTAAAATTTAAATGGGAAATAACCGTAATAAAAATAAGAAGCGACTGGCTTGGCGTTAAGAAACAGGCATAAATATGATAAGCCTAATGAAATAAGTGTCTAACGACCTATCTACTTACAGTATTAGTTATTACAAACATGTCGGTATATAGCATACGATGCGCGGGGAAGTAGGGGCGAAATTAGAATTTGAGCCGACTTACTATATCCCCTTAAGAACATTCCATTCGTGAAATAAGCAAAGGCGTCATAAGTGGCGACTATGAGATGTGTCTGAAATATATTAAGGCTTCCGATAGATGGCATTATGATCACCTCGTATTTGATATTAATATCCAAATTAATAGTAGACTTTTTAGAGGCTAATAATGAAGAAGATAAGCTGTCTCCATATTTAAGCTCCTATTTCACGCGGACGCAATGATATTCTAAGACTCGAACATTTATATCCCAACATTAACTTAATAGCCTAATATAGAGCTATATTTCATATGGCAACATTGAATGTTAGCGAACAATAGCTCGTCAGGGCGCAAACGACGCATTGTTGCCTAATAACCAAACAGACTGCTTGACTTAGATGAATCTCAACGATTACTGCACTCTTCTAATTTCCAACACGTCGGAATAACAGCTGAGGTGTTTTGTCTGATTGATATAGGCGACGTTGTTGTACTTTTTAACTTTAATGAACCAATATAAATTTATTTTCAGACAAGAACTTTATTACAAATTATTATACGTTTAGAAGTTATACGTCATAGAGCCACGCTGCAGCTATTATGGTTGTAGTACTAATGTACAGAATGAAACAGAATATCAGCGTAAAATAGCTGCTGAATGCTGCTGTGTCTCATATGGTGAGTGTGGAGAACAGGACATTCTTATTACTGGAAATGAGTAATTTCATCTTAGTCCTCATGGGTGACAACCAAGTGACAACGCATCTGCACCTTGATTCTTAATTAAAGATGTAGATGTATAAGACCACAGCATCAATTGTGTGACTGTTTGCTCGTTTGTCACAATTATTAAATAAAAAAAATGTTTGAAACGCGAATCATAAAAGTTGGCTCGATACAAAATCAAGATGACATTAAATTGCTATTTAAACGTGTACCTTGCAGAGATTTAATAATAAAACCGTATAAAAATATATATCACAAGAACGCATTTTACAAACTAGTTTTTGATTTTTCATTGGAAAACAAAAACTAAGCCTATATCAAACAACCGCGATGGTCCCGCCCCGGTCAGCGCCCACCGATGTTGTGACATTTTTGATTATAGAAGTACGTTGTTTTTTTTTTCTAAAATTCTCCCCGCTTTATTACTAATTCCCTCGACAGGTACAGTTCTTTTTCCTATACATACACACCGTATAAGAGAGCCTTAATATTTCATATTCTGTAAGAATCTCTGGCTGTGCGAAGAGAAGTTGTATCCTTTGCATTTTCTGCTGGCTGTGCCTAATTACAGGCTGTAAGGTATTCCATCTTGGTCCTAAGAGACCACGCATCTGTAGCCTTCTTAGTTTCAAGTTGACTACAGGTTTCCACGTGCTGCAGAAGCCACTTAACATCAGGTGGAATGTAAATTCGTGCGACCAACCCGGGTTCGATCCCCGCCGGCACCAATGAAATCGTTATTTGCATTTTTAAGTGCCGATTTACCACGTGGTCGGCGGTGAAGGAAGAGAGAGAGTTTTAGGGCATAGTTCATTGCCCTAAAACTCTCAGAAATGAGACGAGGCCTGTGCCTAGCAGTGTAACTTAAACTTTAACTTTAACTAGTAAGCTAAAGTGGCAATGGGCTGGCCGTATAGCTCGAAGGAACGACAACCGATGGGGATGAAAGGTTATTTGAGTGGCAGCCTCGTATTTGTAAGCGCAGTAGGTCTGAAGTCGATGGCTTCAGGTGGCTCAGGTCGTGACCATGTTTTGTGGCAATCCTTGCGGGAGGCTTATGTTCAGCAGTGGACTAGTGACGGACAGTAATAATGAACATGAATTTCTTGCCAATTAGATTTCCATCCTGACTCTGCAAAAGGAATATATAATTAAAAGCTTTCGTGTACAAAAATCACCATTAAAAACATTTTATACGAATTTATTCAACATTGTTTCAAAGCGGGCGTCGAAAACACAGACCGGGTAAACAACGGGGCGTGTTTTGCGATTGCCGCAGCCCTGACCCATTTCAGGGATGTTAATCTATCATATAAGTCGCCAGGGATTCGATAACGGAAAAAGCAGACTCCAACAAGTGAAATGAACGGCTCTAAATTGATAATTGTTGTGTCAACGGCGGGATTAACAAAAAATAAAAAAACATACACTTGTCAACACATGCGAATGTTTGTCAAGAGAGGTTTTTGAGTTTTTGTTTATGCCTTTTTTGACGAATCGAATTGTACTTAAGGTTGCGTTTTATAAATAAAAAATGTTCCATTACAGTTAACGACTTAAAGGTTGACTGGTAGAGAACGCCATAAGGAATTAAGTTCGCCCTTCGGATCCTAATTATAAGGTGCATAATAAATAAATTACATAGTTTTATATTTATAGTTATAGCCTATATACGTCCCACTACTGGGCACAGGCCTCGTCTCATTACTGAGAGGGTTTTAGGGCAAGGAAGTGTCCGCCGCGCTGCCCTAATGCGTGTTGCGAACTTCACATGTCTTCGAAATTTTTTTTTCTATTTCTCAGACATGCATTGGGTTTCCTCACGATGTTTTCCTATATCACCGATCACGTTGTAAATAACCACTTAAAATTGCAATTAACAATTTCATAGGTCAGCGAGGATCGAATCCGGGTAGTTCGTGTACTGTGAAATTCACAGCGAGCGCTAACCATCTGACTTACCACGGCGCAATAAATAAAATAACGACTTATTGATTTGCTCTTTAGGTTTATACGATTTCGTTAACGATTGAATCTAAATAGTGACATGACACTTGATTCTCATATTTCCCATCGCGCAAGACACATCCAAGTGCCTCGAAAACCTCCCTGTGTCTACGAATAACAGACGATGGATCTACATAAAGGAGTCAGAACACGAGAACACTCGTAATGTTCTTCATTTGTGCGTTCATGTCTTTTATGAGGCAATATATGATGGAGGCATATGTTCAACAGATTTTTGGTAGCCTGTAATATTAG